TGACACTGGAACACTTATTGTCGACTGGGGGCTGATGCATATAATTTCCATACACAGAGGTGGTATCAGGGCCTCGACGACTAATTATAGGCTTATAGGCTTGACATACATTTTCAGCAGAATTATATAGAGCCTTACGAAGAACGAACTGGTTGCAATTCCTAGAACTTCACAACTTGGTATCGAACTGCCAACATAGGTTCCGAAATGGAAGATCCTGCAAGACAAACTTACTGTAATTCTTCTAAAGTTAGACCCGAGCTATCGACGAAAGGAAAGCGGTTTACGTAGCCTTTATTGACTCCCAAAAGGCATGCAACAGTGTGCCACATTAGAGACTGCTATAAGAGCTAGAAAGTATTGGGACCAGAAGTAACTATGGATCGAAAACTTTCTTGAGGAGCGGCGCCAGGGTGTGTGTACTGCCAAGGGAAAGGAGGTCCTGTTGTTGTCGAGATTGGTTTTCCCCATGGTTTAGTACTATAACCTATTTTGTTCCTAATAAACGTGAACGATTACGCAAGATTTTTGGACTGACAAGCAATATTCGCTAATGAAATGAGAATACGGAGCGTAATCCGGAGCCCTGCCAACGAAGGTAGTTTGCGGATGAACCTTAGTCAGTCGAAGGAGTGGTAAGACAGTTGGTTCATGCAGTCAAACGTCGGTAAGCGTTTCATACATCGCGTAGGCAACCCAACCAGATCCGCCGGCACATGGGACTACTTCCTCGATGATGCAGCTTTACAAGACGTAGAAGACCAAAAGGACTTCGGTTTGCTGACGACGAGTCCCTAAAATTATCTGCCCACTGCTCAATAATGACGAAAATCGCAATAGCCGTACTTCGCTTCATCGAGCGAGCATTAACGAATTGTGATGAAGACGTCTCCTTCAACTCCTTCGCACGGCCACACCTGGGGTACGGCATACAAAACCGGAGATTATGGGCGCTTCTAAATCAAAATAATCTCGAAAGGGCCCAAAGGAGAGCATGGTCATGGATCAGGCCACCTATCCCTATGCAACCCGCATACCAAATCTGAACCTCCGCATTGAGAAGAAATAGGACTGCAGCCTGATCTTGGGGCCTACTTTTAAATTTTATGCCCCAGCAAAACTCCGAGGTCGTCCATTACGCCCGCGCATTCAGCAGTTGAGAATAGATGTGGGCAAATTCCCTTTGTCTGTCATAGTGGTCAAAACATGAAATGTCCTTCACGAGGATGTTTTGATGTCACTATCGATCGATAGCTTTAACAGGAGTCCTGACATGTTTATGTTCAGAACTTGGCAAGACTGCTCAGGAGTCGGGCTTAGCACTTGACATTCAACCCCAATTTTGCCTACTATTATAGACATATTTAAGTTATTTCATTTCATATAACTTCTCTGTACACCACACCTAATGCTACGTTGCAAATAGGGTGCTCAGGTACTCACGTCTATTGCTTCCAGTATATGCAACTGAATGCCGCAGCATCTTTTCAAATCTGCCCGGTTCCAACGTCCAAAGATCTAGTAGAATCTCAAAAATTTCCAAAATCCAGGGAAATTTTAGTTGAATGAAGAAATACGCATGTCTTAGAACGAGGAATCTGAGTGTTGTCGTGATAACGGTAAGACAGACTATCACAATTGTATTCAACATTCCTCAGCTGTGATCGAGAATGCTGCGGTTGGCGCACAAAGGATGAAAGGAAAGAACAAATAAGGAGGCAGAAGGAATAGCGTCACAGACGCCCAAATGTGAAGTCTCCCCTTTGCATTACATTAGGAGACAAGAGTTTTCAGGACAACTCGAGGATGTCCCAGACTGGACATATTCTATGGTGGTTTTCACAAGCACGATTCTGCACCTAAGAAGATGCGACAGAGGAGGCATATCCGGGTAGAGTTGGATTTATTTAAAGCGTTCGGGATCAGCAATGCGATTTAGGACCTTGAGCTTAAACTAAAAGCGAAATCAGAACACGTGCTGACGCATAATTAGAACTTGCGTTCAGCATCATTTTGTCACACTTGAGTACAAGTATATACAAGTCCATTTGTTCAATAAGGAGGGAAACAAAAGTAAGAAATCAACAGGAACCCCAGGAGATTAAATCCGTCCAGTATGTGAATGAATTCGCGAGGTATCTCCTAGCAGATCCAACTGTCCGCCGAAAGATTATTACTTTCCTGTGCCATCAGTTATCAATGTGTACATAAATCAGAAGAAAAAGCGATCGCTGGCACATGGGCTTTATTCGCCTGACCTTTAGGATTCTCACTTGAATCCATTCTCAGAGCCAGTAGCAGAAAATGGTGACTCGTGCACAGGAAGTTGCAGTATTTATAGGATGCAGTCGCTATACTACCGCATACTTATAGCAATTAACCGCATTCGCCCTTATCAAGGATTGTTGCCCGCTGGTGCGCTAATTGCTTGATGGCCGGAATGCAAGATGTTAACTGCCGAAATGTCATCACTCGTGTTGGATGCTGGCGTGATACTCGGCCATATGGCTCACCGGCTTGAGGGCTCCCGAGTGGTTAATTACTTTGGCCAGACTGTGCCTCAGCACGGACTATGGAGTGGGGATGTCATTACACTTGATGAACGACTGAGGTCTCGTGAACTATGACTGAGGCAACCCGCGGCTCACGCGATTATCATCGAACTTGAATATGTGGCCGGGTCTCGTCTCTCGCCGCCGCGAGTTGCTTGAGTCATGGTTCACGGGACCTCAGTCTATCAACAAGCGCAACGACATCCCCACTCCATATTCCGTGCTGAGGCATAGGCTGGTCGAGGTAATTGACCACTCGGGGAGCGCGCAAGCCGGTGAGCCAGATGGCCGAACATTCATCGCGCCGGCATCCAACACGGGTGATGGCATTTCGGCAGTTAACATCTTGCATGCCGCCCATAAAGCAATTAGCGCACCAGTGGGCAACAATCCTTGATAAAGGGGAATGCGATTAACTACTATAGGTATGCGGTAGCATAGCGACTGCATCCTATAAATACTGCAAC